ATTTTTAGTAGAGACAGGGTTTCACTATCTTGGCCAGGCTGTTCTCAAACTCCTGACCTTGTGATACATCCGCCTCGGCCTCCCAAAGCGCTGGGATTACAGGTGTGAGACACTGCGCCTGGCCCATGGTGCTTTCTAACTCACCTACATGCTGGAATTTCCTTGCACAAATCGGTTCAACGTTCCCTTTTAGAGTCCTGGCTGCCAAGTACTATACACTGTGTTATAAAGGATGAGTACCTTTCACTCTCCAGAAGCTCTCTCTCCTGAATCTGGAGATGGTAAGAGCACAGGCTGTTGGACAGGTTCTTAGTCCAGCTGTCTCATATCCTCTCAGGGCCTCCACTGGCCCAGCCGTGAACTGGGAGGGATCAGAATATCCCAGGGTGGACAGGAGGATTGGTAGAGTATTGGCCTGGCTGTGGTGAGGGTGGGTGTGTTAGACTTTCTTTAGTAGCTGAGTCTTGTGTTTTAGGCAAGTTCACCTTCTAAAGTTAGTCGCCTCATTTGTGATATGAATACACTGAATATATAAAACGGATAAAAGCAGTATTTCATTGCTACAAATTCAAATGTGTAATGTTTACTTAAAAAGACAATGACAGAAGAGCTAGGTAAGGCTGTGCTAATGTACACAGATATTTGGGACTGGGGTAGTAAACAGTGGTGTCTTCTACCTTGACGGCGTCGCATGTGTTTGTTTCTTGCTTTGGTTGTACGGTAAGGAGATAGTTAGCTGTCTGTATGTGGTGACAGTGTTCAGACTCTTACCTTGAGCTCTCAGGTAGGTTCTCAGGATGTGCTTCTGTTAAAGAGAGATGGCAAGGGCAGTTCCATTCTAGCACAAGGTAGTCTTCAGTGGGTTACCATTTGATCTGTAACACATTTAAAGGTGAATGTTGCTTTCTCTTACAGTTCTATAACAGTAAACACACACACAGAAAAAAAGAAGTGAGTCAACATTGACTAGAACCCCTGAAACATCTCCCTGGTACCAAAATAGCTTGAAAGCCAACAGATACATCTCTTCTCAGGGCCTTCCCCATATTCTGTGACCCCCATGGCTGGAATGCCTTTGTAAGCTCCAGCTGAGGAAGGGATGTTGTTGGGAGACTGATCACTGATACTAAGCCAGGTCCTCAGGTACAGGAAATCCTGCCAACCTGGGTCCTTTCAGGGTGCTGGTTGTTCTGACCTTCAGCTCCTGACTCATCCAGCTTGGGAGCCTGGCTCTGAGCTGGTTCTCAGCTCACACCACAGCTTTCCAAAGCCACACTCTCTTGGAGGGTAATCACACAGCTTGCCTCAGAGGGCTGCCATCAGGATGGGTTGCATGAGATAAGTGCCTCTGAAAGGCTAAGCATGGTGCCTGGCTGGCACATAATGTATCATCATCTTTGCTGTCACCAGCACTTCCCCAGCTTAATGTTTCACAAACACTTTTTTGAGTGTAGTTTTGCTTTTTGCCCAGGTTAGAGTGCAATGGCATGATCTCAGCTCACTGCAACCTCTGCCTCCTGGGTTCAAGAGATTCTCCTGCCTCAGCCTTCTGAGTAGCTGGGATTACAGCCATGTACCACCACTGCTGGCTAATTTTGTATTTTTAGTAGAGATGAGGTTTCACCATGCTGTCATGTTGGCCAAGCTGGTCTTGAACTTCTGGCCTTGGGTGATCCAGCCAACTTGGCCTCCCAAAGTGCTGGGATTACAGGTGTGAGCCCAGCCAAATTTTTTTTTTTTTTGGGGGGGGGGGACAGAGTATCACCTTGTTGCCCAGGCTAGAGTTTAGTGACACAATCTCAGCTCACTGCAACCTGCACCTCCTGGGTTTGAGTGATTCTCCTGCCTCAGCTTCCCAAGTATAGCTGGGATTAATAGGCGTCTGCCACAATACCTGGCTAAATTTTTTGTATATTTAGTAGAGACAGTGTTTCACCATGTTGGCCAGGCTGCTCCTGAACTCCTGACCTCAGGTGATCCACCCACGTCAGCTTCCCAAAGTGCTGAGATTACAAGCGTGAGTCACCTCGCCTGGCCCGCAAACGCTCTTGAAGCCTCTGGCCCTTGTTCTGTATGCTAATTCTCACGTCATCAGAATTGCCACTAACTTTTGTTTTGTTTTGTTTTGTTTTTTTTGAGATGGAGTCTAGCTCTGTCACCCAGGCGGGAGTACAGTGGCACAATTTCAGCTCACTGCAACCTTCGCCTCCTGGGTTCAAGTGATTCTCCTGCCTCAGCCTCCCAAGTAGCTAGGATTACAGGCACCCAACACCACGCCCAGCTAATTTTTGTATTCTTAATAGAGATGGGATTTCACTGTGTTGGCCATGATGGTCTTGAACTCCTCACCTTGTGATCCGCCTGCCTTGACCTCCCAAAGTGCTGGGATTACAAGCGTGAGCCCCTGCGCCCAGCTGCCACTATCATTTTATGGGCTGCTTTTAAAATTAAAACTCACAAAAATATTATGAAGAATTATCTCTGTACATTGTCTTGCCTTTCCTTTCCATTTCCCTGGCTAAGACTAATGTCACTTTTGAATAAAATGAAGAAATAGAATTCTTTGTATAAAACAACTAGGGAAAACCCAGGGATAGAGAACAGGAAGGCTGGTTTATATGCCAATAACTCATCTGTAAGGTCATGTAAATGTAATTCTGTGCATTATAGCCAATGCACCTAAAGTCAATTCTCAATGTCTAAGGATGAGCAAATGTATAACTCTTCATTGTGTAGAGGGGTATAGAACTTAGCTTGCCATGTCCTGGGCACATTTCCAGTAGTCATTTAGTTAGTACCAGTGATTTCCACCCAAGTGTCCTGTAAGGAGGCACCATGGGAAATAAGAACAGCTGCTTGGCATTCTGGGTAGAGAGCCTGAGCCAAACTCTAGAGCTCCCTTTATAAAGGGAGGTCATGTGATGGCCAGAAATTGCTCTTGCTTCATGGTGCACTTGGTGGGGAGTCAGGTGTGGTGTGCTGGGTTTCACCTCATCCCGTTTTCTTTTCTGCCTTCAGACTTGCAACGCTTCTTTTGCCACCCGAGACCGTCTGCGCTCCCACCTGGCCTGTCATGAAGACAAGGTGCCCTGCCAGGTGTGTGGGAAGTACTTGCGGGCAGCATACATGGCAGACCACCTGAAGAAGCACAGTGAGGGGCCCAGCAACTTCTGCAGTATCTGTAACCGAGGTAAACTGCTCACTGTTTCCTGACTTCCAGAGGATGGGCCTGAGCGTGTATGGGAGGCCTAGGGGTGTCTTGATGACCCTGCCTCAGACTCCACACAGCCCTTCCCTTCCCACTGAATGATAAACATCTTCATCACCCAGCTAGCTATTTGTGACCCCTTCCTTCCCAAGCTTGGAGTGCTTAGAATGGGAGGTCCCAGGAGACCAGCAGGTTGGAATGGAAGGAGAGAAGTTCTTCCCAAGCTTGGGCCCATAACTCCCACCTGCTACTCAGGTGGCAGGATGGATGCATTTAGCAGACACCACTGAACTACTGAGGTTGGTCGGGGAGTTAATAGGTCCCAAAGTGGGAGAAAAAGAGGTCAGTCTGGCTTGAGAGCTTTTGTTGCTGGTTGATTCACTGGCATATGAAATTCAGCAGCCAGGGAAAGAGGCTGAGTCTGGAGATAAACAAGGAGCAGTCATTTGCTAGCACAGGTGGTCAGAAGAGAGCCCAAGCTCAGGTAGATTGTGGCCTTGATGGGAGAGGAAAGTGGAAGGTACTCTGAACAGGGCAGTGTGCTTGAGGACAAGGTGGGCCTAGGTAGTGTGTAACTCTATGGCAGTGGTGTCGTGTTGGGTGAAGTCAAGCCTGTCCCCAAGGTTCTGCCGGGTCTAGTTGGCTGTTGGAAGTGCTAGATGTTTGTGTTTGGCAAGCACAGCATCAGTGGAGGCTTGTGCTATGTCTGTGGTAAAGGAGGGCAGAGCAGCTGTCTGTGAACATTGAGGATGCTTCTGCATGGTGTGCATTGCTTTGACCAGGTGGGGAGGCTGCTGGGATGTCCTTATCTCCTGGGGCATTTTTGCTTGTTCCAATGCTTCTGAGAGCCTGGGGTATGGCTTAGTGGGTTGAGCACTGAACCAGGAATCAAGAGACCCAGGGTTTTGTCTCAGCCTCTCACTAGTTGGCCTTGAGTTCTCCCATTCCCTCTCTAAGCTTCAGTTTCTTTATCTCTCAAATGGGGTTAAGAATACCCCCCTTTCCCACCTCACAGGGTTATTATGAGGATCCCAAGAGACAAGGTAGGTGAAAGGAGCTGCACACTTCGGAGGCCCTATCCTTGCACTTTGTAACAATGTTGGGAAAGACATGCTTGTTGACTCTCTGGGTTGGACCAGGCACAACACTCCTGCAGGCCTTGGTGGAATTGTTGGGTGCCCGTGCTGTGTTCATGTGCCCTGAGGTCCATGGTGGAAGGAGATTGCTGAGTAGCTGGGTGTTCTTGTTGTCCTGGAACTGGGTCCCTCCTTGCAGCTTCATACCTGCGGTTTGTACCACCAGGACACCTGCAGGGAGGTATTAGTAAAGGCCTTTTAAGCTGTCTGTTCTGTTTTCTGACATGTCAGTAGAGCCCATTTCTGACAGGAGCTTCCTCCAGGTTGCAAGCGGTGGGCTTGCACGTGTAGGGAGTTATCGGGCTGTGGCTGACTGTCTTGACTGAGGCTGCTCCAGCCCTAGATGTTGTTTCTTGTCTTGCTTCATCCTAACCTGGCTTCCTGACAGCTCCCCCAGATAACTCAAAACTTGCTGGAACAGGGATTTTGCCAAGTTTTCAATGTGGAAGTTCCCAGTCTGAGAACTGGGGTCAGAGACCAGAGGCTGAAAACTGTTGAGTGGAGAAGGGTACTCATGATAAAACTCAGAAAGCCCAGCCCAGATGATGGAGTAGGGCAGGAACTGGACAGGAGATCCAGGGCCACAGCCCTTGGGAGCCCAGCTAAGGAGGAAAGAAGAACTGAGAGCAGCAGGAATAGTGGGAAAGTTGGCCCAGTTAGGAGGCAGCTGATGTTGCAAAGCCAACAACTATTGTATGTCAGGATTTCTTTTCTAAGGGCTGGTAAAGAGAACTTGGGCAACAGCCATAAGGGACATGACTGGAATGGAGAATCTAGAAGAGTAAACCAAAGTCTACTTTTTCTCAGAAAAGCCAAGACTGGATCTGATCACAGGCCAAACATCTTTGGTCCCAGAGCCAGAGTGGGAAGTCCCTTTCCTGCAAGAAGACTAAAGAAGGTTCTGGTCCAACCCATGCTGGGTACTCAGAAGGAAGAGAAAACAATTGCAGTTTTTATCAGAAGAGGAGGAGCTGGATTCTACTCCTGGACTCATTCCTTGGGCAGAAATAAGAAGAGACAAAAAAAAAAAAAAAAAAAAAAAAAAAAAAAAAAAAAAAAAAGAAGAGGATAAAGTTCTTTCTGAGCACCAAAAACATTGAGATTAAGACATTGGAATCAGAACAGAGAGCTCTGTGTCCTCCTTTGCCCTGCTGCCACCAAGCCTATACCTATAAGAGGAGTTGCACGAATAAATGAATGTTCTTATCTCTGCATGCGTTCAAGCAAAGGCTAAATGTCAGCCAGCTGATTAGACCAGTTATGATTTAATCAGGTGAACTTCCAGGTGCCTTCAGATCCTTCAGTCCCAACAATTCTTAGTTGACTTGAGTATCTACCTATAGATCTGTCTTCTTCAGTCTTTGCCACAAAAACGACTCCTGGCTGTGAAGAATGGGAAAGAGGGAAGGCAGCCTGACTCCTGCAGCCTCACACGTGAGTCAGATGCAAGTTGGTGAGAGACAGATAACTCTGGCTTTATCATACAGACATATCAGGATGTGTATGATACTATTTGTAGAGGAAGATCATTTGCAGTAGAGAGAATATTATGGCTAGAAAAGCTTGTTCCCTCATTTTCGAGTTGAGGAAATCAGTTGAGTTTAACAGTTGAAAAGGAGAAGGCCCTGGCTGGTCACCATGATTTTCTTTTCTTTTTTTTTTTTTGAGACGGAGTTTTGCTCTCGTTACCCAGGCTGGAGTGCAATGGCGCGATCTCGGCTCACCGCAACCTCCGCCTCCCGGGTTCAGGCAATTCTCCTGCCCCAGCCTCCTGAGTCGCTGGGATTACAGGCACGCGCCACCATGCCCAGCTAATTTTTTGTATTTTTAGTAGAGACAGGGTTTCACCATGTTGACCAGGATGGTCTCGATCTCTTGACCTCGTGATCCACCCGCCTCAGCCTCTCACAGTGCTGGGATTACAGGCTTGAGCCACCGCGCCCGGCCTTGATTTTCTTCATTTAAAATTTCTGTAGCAGGATCTTTGTATATATGCCTATGTGTTGGTATGAGGAAGATGAATATATTATCAGGAATCTGCCTTTGACAGAGACATTTGGATACAAACATCATTGATTGAAAGGTAGAGGAAGTCTTCTCCCATCAGAGGTAAGCACACAAGTGGATGGATGCAGAGAACCTGCCGTTCTCCTGATCTCAGATAAAGCTACGTAGGCCCACTCCAACACAGTGCAGTTGGGGATGGCCTCTTCAGGGTTTGGACAAGGAGAAAACAGTCCCCAAGCCCCTGCATGGATGTGGGATCTGCCAAAAGATGATTTGCTCCTGAAGTGCCAAGTGCAGGCACACAGGCAAGAAAATGCAACTGAGGAGCAGTGGCCTTTTGCTAATAAGCCTGTCATCTCTGGAGTGAAAGGACCTGTGGCTTATGGGTTGTAGTGGCAATCACATGTGTGCTCAGCATCTCCATTGCGTGGATGGCTGGATCAAGCTGCCTCTTTGGCTCTTGATTAATCAGTGGTGAATGGGTGGGTAAGTTTAGAATTCCGGCTAAATATGTCTGGCTTCAAAGATGTACTCTGCTCAGAAACTCAGCTTCTGTTTCATCTTAACACTTGGCTGCTGAGTTGTTCTGTGTTTAAATTCTAGGCTTTAAGTGGCAGCTGTGGATCCACTCCTACCACCCCGCCATGTGGTTTTGCTATAGATAGTACAGTCTGCAGCTGGGGTAAAGTCAAGAGGACTCAGCCACGTGTTTCTCAGACAGTTTTTCAGGAAAACTCAGCAAGTTTTTTTTGAGACCGAGTTTCACTCTTGTTGCCCAGGCTGGAGTGCAATGATGTGATTTTGGCTCACCACAACCTCCACCTCTCGGGTTCAAGTGATTCTCCTGCCTCAGCCTCCTATGTAGCTGGGATTACAAACATGCACCACCACACCCAGCTAATTTTGTATTTTTAGAAGAGACATGGTTTCTCCATGTTAGTCAGGCTGGTCTCGAACTCCTGACCTCAGGTGATCCACCCACCTAGGCCTCCAAAGTGCTAGGATTACAAGCCTGAGCCACCGTGCCCAGCTGAACTCAGCAAGTTTTTATTGAGCATCTGCTGTGTTCTCCTGGTATAGCTCTCCCAGTAAGGAGTAAACATAATAATTCTTGGTACTCTCCCACTCCTTTCTGTGCCCTTTGATTGCAGCAGACCTGCTCTGGTTCATCACGGGGAGAGCTTCTTGCTACTTTAGAGGCCTCACAATGGATTAAAAACCAAAGGAAAAAATTCCCTTCTACAGTGGTATCATCATACTACCAGAAAGTTATGATATCTTGTGCTGATTGATGGGAGCCAATGTCTCCTGGTTCTGCTTTGTTGTGGGGGGACTCCATAGTACCACCCCAAGGGGCAGGGCTAAGAGCCTCTTTCCCATTAACCTTGTCTCCTCACTCCTGACTACAGCCTCCCTCTTAGGGATATCTACATGGGACTCTCTTAGACTAATCTATACCTGTGATCAGCCTTAGGCAGACCACTTCGGTCATGGCACAGGACAATTTGCTCTACTGGGCAGGGCAGGACACTAGCATCTGGTCTAGACAGATCTTTGAAGTAGCTGTATTGGGAAAGGAAGGAAAATTGGCTCAACCCCACATTTCCCTTCAGAACCACTAACTGCTGTCAGAGGAGTAGAGTACTTGTTAAATAAAGTTCCCACAGGCCAGCCCTGTTTTTCCAGCAGCTTCCATTCTAACCTACCATTATGGCAGAAGAATACATGAGTATAAATGATGATAATGAAACTTATTGCAAAAGTCCACTGGATGTTTCTAGGGCTCAGGGCTAAGACACAGGAACCAATAACCCATTTATGCTGGAGGTTGCAAATTTTTTTTTGTGAAAATCAGATCTTGACTATGATCTTGAGCAGTAGGATATAAATAAAACTTACAAGGTTAGGGTTCCAATAATGGAACATGAGACATAAGTGGGCTAAAGCAGCTGCCCAGTAGCTAAGGGCCAAATTCTGGTGGCACATGATCCTGGGGCTGGACTCTAGGCTCTGTCACTTAGTAGCTATATGTGTGACCAGGTTACTTAACCTCACCAAGCCTCTTATTTCTTCATCTGTGAAATGGGCATAATAGTGATGTAGCACATAGGGTGTTGGGCAAATCCTGTAGAATAGTGCATGTGGTGTGCTGGGCCCTGGTGTGCCATCAGCATTTGCCAAAGGTGAACCTTTATTACAGTTTCAGCAGCATTCAAAATGCCATGCCATTTCAGACTTTTTAAAAACAAATCTCGTGCAGACATTACATAGTACTCTTCAGCCTCTGACCCTTTAGCAGTGGATCTCACTGTTATCCTGTGACTGTGTAATTTTAAAAGTGAATGGAAACACCTGATAATGAGTCAGCCTGATCTGAAATGGATTAAAGGGACACTGTCAGGGCACTGGCACCCTAAGTGGGCCTTATACTAAAAAGCTTCAGTTCCTGCTAAAGGCACCTTCTGATCCTTGACCACAGTGGGGTTCGATGGCATACCTCCTTCCTGTGAAATCCAACACAAAATCCTTTTATCGGCCTGCCTGATTCTGTATCCTTGGACTCGTGGCTGCTGTGGAAATTGGCCCAAGATCTACTCTTCGTGGCTCAAACTGACCGAAGCATATGGAAGGTGGGCTGGAATAGTCCCACGACGGCTGGATTGTCCTCTCCCCAAAATAAAGACAAAGATCATTCCTGTTTCTTCTCCTGTACGTGAACCTGGTGGATGCACCAAAATCAAACCAAAAGACTACCATGAATAAGAGATGACCGCACTCCTTTGATACAACTTCCTATTTTTGTCTTTGTTCTTCAAAAGATCTAAACAGTTACTAAATCCTGTTATGCTGAAGGTGGGGAAGTTAGAAAAATAGAACATCTCCTGACAGGTAGAAGATGGGATCCCTGGAGGCGTTCTTTTGGGATTCATTTTACCTCCATCTCGTTTGTTGTCCAATTTCCTTTTACAAGGATTAAGCAGGCATCCTGCTGGCTAGAATCCTGCGGCTTCCCTGGAGCCTCAAATTCTTGTCTAACCACATTTCTAGTCATGGTTCCTGCAGGAGACATCCACTCAAACCACCTGTTACTGAGGCATCAAGCAAGCCTAGAGGCAGTGGGCCTCTGGCCCTAGCAGGAGCAGGATCTCAGGCCATCCCACCAGGTGGCCAGCCTAGGCTTCTCACCGCAGCCTTGCAGAGTGGGCTCTGCAGAGAAGCTGATTTGTGGACAGTGCCACCCTCCATCCTGAGCCACATGGCTCATGTGGTTGCAGCCATTTTTGAGCCAAGGAGGGGGCCCCCTCTAGGTGCAGCTGACCTGGGAATGCTAGCCAGAGCGGCCAGAGGAGAGGCTTGGGGGAAGGAGAGAGGTATCTCTTGCCGGCCTCGGGATCTCATCTCCTTTTGTCTTGTTTAGGTTTCTCCTCTGCCTCCTACTTAAAGGTCCATGTTAAAACCCACCACGGTGTTCCCCTTCCCCAGGTCTCCAGGCACCAGGAGCCCATCCTGAATGGGGGAGCAGCGTTCCACTGCGCCAGGACCTATGGCAACAAAGGCAAGCGACCCCTTGCTCTGCACTTTGCTTCTCTGCGCAGACTGTGTTGTGGGGGCGCTGGGCTGGGCGTGGGGAGGCGGGAAGGCTGCCGGCTTTCTGGCTGCCTTGAGGAGGTTCAGAGATCTCAGTGGCAGTGGCCTCCAGGACAAAAGTCACAGTGGGTATCCCACTCCAGGGCAGTGAGTGAGGCTTTAGGGCACTGCCAAGATCCGGCCTCCGCCTCCTCTTCCCCAGCCCTCCTCCCTTCCTCCTGGCCAGCCCTCACCGTCTGGAGCCCTGCAGGGATGCCCCAGGCCCTGGGCAGAAGAAGAGCCCTGCATGATGAGTCACTCTGGGCCTGTCCACTGCCTGTTGCCCTTTAGGATGGTGTGGAACTGCGGCTGAATGCTTTCTCCTCTTTTGACCCAGTGGGCCGGTGGAAGCCAGTGTCTGGCTTCTCTCACAATAGGGGTGATTGGTTGCTGTGAGTGGCCCTTTCCGGAGAGCCTCTGGCTGTGGTTGTGAGATGCATGGCAATAATGAGCTATCTGACTCCTCTGACTTGGGAGTTGGTTTGTGGAGGGCTCCCCAGGCCTACCTTCACTTGTTGATTCAGGTCGTTTTGTGGTATGTCACATGGTCATTGCCTTGGGGATAAGGCCAGGGGCTTGGCAGATGGTAGAAACAGCAGAGATGGCATGCTCCATGCTCCCATCACAGACCTTCCTTCCCGGCATGGCTCTCTGGACCCAGGCAGGAAGCTGCTGATTGGTGGAGGACTCCAGTGTAGGCCAGGCAAGGCAGAGCAGCCAGGATTGTCTCTTGGCCCAGCTTGTCTGGGGCTTAGGGTGGGGACACCCAGCCGACTTGAGTTGTTCAGAGTTCCTTTCAATCTCTGTGCTTCGGCTGCTTGGCCCTGGAAGGGTTTTGGCAGAAGGAAGGCAGTAAGGGCAAGGCTTGTGTTTGTAGCATTAGGAGAAGGATTGGCTTCTGTCTGAGCCATTGATGGGGTCTACCCAGATTGAGGACCTCATGGCTCTGGTTCTGCCTGCCTTGCTAGGGTGTAGCTAGTCTGGTGTAGGAGACAAGGCCACTGTTACACTGGTTTGGCATCATCAGAATATCAGTTTTACTCCTAGAGGCACCCAAAAGAGTGCCTAGGAGTTGGGGGTCTTTGAGTTGTTCTGGGCAGCAATAGTAGAGTATCCTGTATCCCTTCCTTGAAGCAGGCTGAGATGATGGTGAGCAGTATACGTGCAGCTGCATGAAGAGTTCACAGCAAGGGAGGCTGGTGGCCCTAGGGCCCTGCCATTTTACCCCTGTAGGCACTCCAAGCTCCCAGACTGACCAGCTGACCCTCTGTGGGTTCTGCCAGGGTGGTGGCTGGCCAACGGCTGCCCTCCACAGGTCTGTGAGCTGGCCCCTCATGACCCCTCCAGGAGGGGGCATCTCCAGAACCTGGCCTCATCTCTCTCCTGTATTTTGTTTTTTTGTAGAAGGCCAGAAATGCTCACATCAGGATCCGATTGAGAGCTCTGACTCCTATGGTGACCTCTCAGATGCCAGCGACCTGAAGACGCCGGAGAAGCAGAGTGCCAATGGCTCTTTCTCCTGCGACATGGCAGTCCCCAAAAACAAAATGGAGTCTGATGGGGAGAAGAAGTACCCATGCCCTGAATGTGGGAGCTTCTTCCGCTCTAAGTCCTACTTGAACAAACACATCCAGAAGGTGCATGTCCGGGCTCTTGGGGGCCCCTTGGGGGACCTGGGCCCTGCCCTTGGCTCACCTTTTTCTCCTCAGCAGAACATGTCTCTCCTTGAGTCCTTTGGGTTTCAGATTGTTCAGTCGGCGTTTGCGTCATCTTTAGTAGATCCTGAGGTTGACCAGCAGCCCATGGGGCCTGAAGGGAAATGAGGCAGCTGCTCTGTCCCCACGGAAACAGCCATTTGGGGACTGTTGGGAAATGCTGTGAATGCGGAGGGAAGTGATTTCTTTGGGTTCTGTAGCTGAGAGATTTTTATTCATTTTTAACTACCCCCCAACCCTACCCCAACTGCTCCACCACCCATTCTCCCAGTGGTCTTTAGAAATAGATTTTCATCTGATATTCTGCAGAAATATCAGTGAGACCCAGTATGGGAAAAGGGCATAAAACACTACATAGGCCTCCAAGGCAAAACCAGTCCCAGTTTCTCTAATGGGCAGAAGCTGGAATTCCTGGTGCTCAATTCTTAGTGACCCCAATCCTATACCCAAGTCTACGGTATTCTGGGACCTCAGTGATTTTGGTCCTCTCCCACTTCTCTAATTCCTCATCCCCCCTTCCCATATCCTTCAAAAGAACCACACTAGGGTCTCCACCCACTTAAACAATGCGGATGCCCAACTGTTTTTAAGGAAGCCAGAAGCCTTCAGCATCCATGGACCATGGGGTGAGTGTCCTCTGAGAGTTCCCCCGAGCTCAGCCCTTTGCCTGGAGGGCTCCAGACCTTTCTGAGCCCTGCTTAGCGGCAAGCATTTTCACTGCAAGGACAAGCTCAGGTATTGAGGACACCCCCACCCCAAATTTCAGTTCTTACGTGATTTTAACCATTCAACTTGCTGTTGGGTTTTAATTCTCTAATTATTATTATTATTGTTATTATTTTTTAGGACCAGTTGTAGTGAATTGCTACTGAAAGCTATCCCAGGTGATACAGAGCTCTTTGTAAACCGCAGTCACACATTAGGGTTAGTATTAAACTTTGTTTAGATGTACCATAATTAACTTGGCTAGTTGATTGTTTGAAGTCTATGGAAGAAATAGTTTTATGCAAAATTAAAAAAAATGCCAGTCTGGTCAGGGAAGTAGGGGGTTTCAATGCTGTTGGGAGCCAGGGAGGTAGGAGAGCCAGCAGGCAGGGACAATGTGTACCTCAGTTGTGCCACATGTGAGCAAGCCCAGGTTGACCTTGTGATGTGAATTGATCTGATCAGACTGTATTAAAAATGTTAGTACATTACTCTCCCTGCTCCCTCGAGTCCAGTTTTTCAGCTGTGGGATCTTTGGGACACAGAGGTGGGCAGTCTATACCCCAGCACCTGGGGTGGGAGTGGGAGCCCAGAAGACCCCTTTTCCACTTCATTGTACCAGTTCCACTGGGATTGACAGGTGGAGAGTCGCACTGAAGACTTTAGAGTGCCAGAATTCACCCATTTTTTTCAACAAATATTCAGTTTTTGTCTTCACTGCTTGTATGCCAGGCATGGTTTCATGCTTTTGGGATATAGTGGTGAACACGACACTGCTGTGAGGGTTAATGGGAGAGATAGACAATTTAAATATGAATTCAGATAATGAGAAATGCAAGGAGAAAAACTGGGCAAGGTGAGGGGAAAGTGACAGCAGGGGGGTGAGTAGGGTGGACCAGGGAGGTATGAAGCGGGGTGGGGCTCTGGGAGAGAAGACTTGGAGAGGGGATCTGACATAGCCTACCCACCTATCATCTGAGGAGGGATGTGAGCAGGGACTCCTCATGGCCAAGGGGCTTTAAGAAGCTCAGCAACTTGTCTCCCCTACCATGTTATCTACCTGATGTTAAATAAAAGGTTGGTGCATGTTAGTTTTGAGTGTGTGAAGAAAAGAAGGAAAGAACAACAAACAGGAAGCAAGAAGCAAGCACGATGGATAATTAACGGGAATAAGAATGAGGAACAAGAGGGGACAAGCCAGCTGGGCCTGACGGCTCACGCCTGTAATCCCAGCACTTTGGGAGGCTGAAGTGGGTGGATCACTTAAGGTCAGGAGTTTGAGACCAGCCTGACCAACATGGTGAAACCCCATCTCTACTAAAAATACAAAATTAGCTGAGCGTGGTAGTGCACGCCTATAATCCCAGCTACTCGGGAGGCTGAGGCAAGAAAATTGCTTGAGCCCGGGAGGCAGACATTGCAGTGAGGCAAGATCACGCCATTGCACTCCAGCCTGGGCTATAAGAGTGAAACTCCATCTCAAAGAAAGAAAAAAGAGGGGACAGGCAGACTTAAGCAACCCTGGGCATCTTGAGAAATCTCAGGGAAGAGAGAAACCCCTAAAAGGATAGAGACGGCATTTAACCTCCAAGCAAGAAGAAAACAACGGTAAAGGAGAGAAAAACAGACTTAGGGAAACAAACAGCACAAAAATTTTTAGACCCACATTGGTATCAGAATTACTTTTTTCTTGAAATGGAGTTTTGCTCTTGTCACCCAGGCTGGAGTGCAGTGGTATGATCTAGCACAGCAACCTACAACTTCACGTCCAAGCAATTCTCGTGCCTCAGCCTCCCAAGTAACTGGGATTACAGGCATGTGTCACCACGCCTGGCTAATTTTTGTATTTATTTATTTATTTTTGAGACAGAGTCTTGCTCTGTCGCCCAGGCTGGAGTGCAGTGGCATGATCTTGGCTCACTGCAGCTTCCACCTCCTGGGTTCAAGCAAGTCTCCTGCCTCAGCCTACCGAGTAGCTGGGACTATAGGTGCGTGCCACCACGCTCAGCTAATTTTTTGTATTTTTAGTAGAGACTGGGTTTCACTGTGTTAGCCAGGATGGTCTCAACTTCCTAACCTCAAGTGATCCGCCCACCTCAGCCTCCCAAAGTGTTGGGATTATAGGTGTGAGCCACTACTCCCAGCCTAATTTTTGTTTTTAGTAGAGATGGGGTTGCGCCACATTGGCCAGGCTGGTCTCGAACTCCTGACTTCAGGTGGTCTGCCTGCCTCGGCCTCCCAAAGTGTTGGGATTACAGGTGTGAGCCACCGCACCCTGCCTAGAATTACATTGTTCTGGTGTAAAGGTAAAGACTCTCAGCTGAATTTTTTTTTTTTTTTTTTTAAAAAAAAACAACTCTAAGCCATTTACACAAAATCCTTAGTAAGCTGCTGGGCTTTGTGGACTGTGTGGAATTGAGGCTTTAGGCCATTTGATGTATTGAAGGAAAGGGTGACCCTAGAATGTGGAAACCCTGTGGACATATATGGCTTTGTGACCACCACAGAACCTGGTCACACCAACCGAGTGTTAAAAGTGGAGAACCTGGCTTGAACCATGGACTTGACTGGGCCAGCCCAAGTTCTTGAACTCATTTTAGGTCTGCTCCCTGGAGACCTGTGAACATGTCCATGGACAAGTAGGGACCATGGGTATTAGAAAGGAGTATCTGTCACATAGGAGGGGAACAACAGAGCAAGCAGGCTGTTGCGCATTCCAAAGCACTGCTCACCTGGCAGCCTGAGCTTTGGGAGGCCAAGGCAGGAGGATTGCTTAAGGCCGGGGGTTTGAGACCAGCTTGGGCCACATAGTGAGACCCCATCTCTACAAAAAATGAAAAACAGCTGGACGTGGTGGTGCATGCTTGTAGTCCTAGCTACTCAGGAGGCTGAGGCAAGAGGATCGCTTGAGCCCAGGTGTTCAAGGTCACAATGAGCTACGATTGCACCACTGCATCCTAGCCTGGGTAAGAGAGTGAGACCCTAACTCTAAAAAAACCAAAACAACAAACAACAAAAAAGAAGAATCTGAGCTTTGGCTGTTCAGCTTCACCATCTGCTCCCTGCCAACCTTGGGGAAATCCCTAAATCTCTGAGCCTATTTCCTCATGAGGTCTTTTGTGAAAACCAAAAGAGACCATCATCATGAGCTAATCCTCTGCACAACCTGTAAGGTTGGTTCCATTAATTCTATTATCATCCCCCTCTTGCAGATGAGGAAATGGTGAGAGAGATGGAGGAACTCCCCTCAGTCACACAGTAAGTCTAAGTGTCAGGATTCAAACTCAAGTCTGCCTTATCCTCAGCCTTTATTCTTTTTTTTTTTTTTTTTTTTTTTCTTGAGACGGAG